AGCGAGAAGCGCGAGTCCATGACTGTTCGGGTCAAGGCCCAATGGGCAACAGAGGACAAAATGCGAGACACTCTCAAGCTTACAGAGCATCTTGCCAAACAAATAAATCGGCAAAGGTTCTCTACCTCTCTGTGGCGCAATTAGCGGAACAGTAATATCGTATATTCCATTAATCCCTTAGAAAATGAGAACCGTTTTGATGAGGAGCAAATCCTAGTGCAATTTGGGCCCTCCCTCAGTATCCTTCACCTTATTTGAAAATGGCTGATGCACTCTGAGGGCGAGAATCAAGGCTGTCAAGGAGTACTGCGAGAAACGTCAACAGGATCACACAAAGTGCCTTGGAACAAATGCCAAGGTAGCTTGAGTGCATGCTAACACTTTAAAGTTCTCTTGCCAGAGATTGGCTTCTTGTTCTAGCAGCTAGCAGTCCAAAAGGTGTCCAGCAAGAATGATCGTATTTTCATTTTGTTTTGGCCCAAAAGAACATGCAATATAGTATCATGCATGGGCTGCATGGGCGTGACTGAGGTTCGACAAATACGAAAACAAGACTATGTATTGGTATGAAGAAGAGCTTGTTGCCGAGTATGAGCAGCAGGTCTCTAAGCGGCGCAAAGAGGAGTCTTCGTTTGAAACCGAGGCGCTGGTTGGTGAGCACCTGGCCCGGGCTGCGGCACCCCTTGAAATGACTGTGCAGGAAATCCAAGCCATGAAAATGGGGGAGGGAGGCATGGCAATGAATTCTGATTAAAATTTTGTATGTTCTCTATGTATAGTCCCATGTTGGACGCCCAAATTCCCCAGAAAGGTGGAATTCCAGAGCCTTTGGATTCTGGAGTTCTCTTCGTGGTCGGCTGCGATCCCAGGTGCTGATTCGAAGCCTGGTCCAGTTCCTCACCAACCGACTGTGCTTCCACAGGTTCAGAAGAATGAACTTCCAAGCAGTGTGATCTTGAAGTTCTTGGATGGACTTTCAAAACGGATCTCAAAGGTCATTGAAGCATAGCTGAACTCTTTGCAATGTATAAACATGTATGAACTATAAACCATATGCCAGCTTGCCTCAAACATGATTTCAGGACATGAGAGGCAAGTATGAAGCCATCCCAGAAGACAAAAGAAACACCACTCACACCGCGCTACTGAACGTGCAATTATATATGCACACAAAGGACATCAAACACTTAGTTCTTCTCTTGCATGTGTCTCTGTCGCCCAGGCTGATCACAAAAATGACCGACATCATCGCCCGCCTCGAGGATTCCCACAACAAGGTGAACGATGTCTATGCCTCTGGAGCTGTGGAGGGTTATGGGAAAGAGTGCCTTGCAGAAAAAGGGTGCGAAGGTTCTATATATAGACTTCTTGGTAACTTCACTTGCCTTGCATAGCCTCAGAACCTTATAGTGCACATGCTCCCTATCAAACTAGCCCAGGCTTGAAGACACGTTGAAGGAACACTACAAGCAAGCTACCAAAACGACGGGGCCTTAATCCTGCTTGGAACTGATGCAGTGCAAATACCAACTCATGGAGGGGTGCCGACTCATGTACCTAAGGGCCCAGGAATCCTTGACGCTGGAATCCCGCTGCAAAGCCATCCCGGTCCCAAAAGCAGAGGCCAAAGTGAGTGCGAAGAGCAAAGCCGCTCCTAAGGGAAAGGCCAAGGTAAAGGCCAAGGCGAAGCCTAAAGCTTCAGCCTGAGCCTTCGATTTTAAAAGCCCCATCCTTCACTGGGCTTGCAGGTGTCTGTAAGATTTGTAAAACCATGCATGCTGTAAAGGACCTTAACCTTGATGTCATGATGTCTAGGTATACCACTATACAACCACTTGAAGCAGCACAGCGTTTTCATGTTGCTTTGCAATGGGTTTTTTTGTTGGCACCTGTATCCGAATGAGGGCGTGGGCTTTGCGAGGGTTGAGAGAGGGGGGGCTCTCCGTTTCCGCAAGTGTGGAGCGCTGGCTTTAATGCTGCACAGGGCTTGCTAGAGGGTTCGCGAGTGGAGCGCACAGTAACAGTAACTGGAACATAATAGGAGACCAATGTTCTCTATGATTTGTGTGTGTGCGGTTAACAGTTTTAGAGCTCCATGTGCAATATATTTTGCGCTGGCGATTGGCTTGTTGAACGGCTCATAACGGCTCAGGACTGCTTGCCAAAAAGTGGCTATGGAAGCCAAACACATCCTCTCGAGCATTATCAGTAATAAAGCACTTTACACAGTGTGTGTCCATGCCAGGCGTAGAGAAGCCAGGCGTTCTGATTCGCAATCTTGCAATCTCAATGGCTGAAGGGGCTGCCCAACAAAATGTGGCAAGTGTTTGTTGGAAGTTTACTTTCAAGTGCTTCTTTCCTTAATTGAACTTTCAAAGCACCGTGCCCCCTGTCATATATGGGGAAAGGACTGCATACCAGGAAGCCATCTGCCATCCTCACTCGGTTGCTCAGGCTCCTGCTTCCAAGCTCAAGCGGCTGGCCAACAGCGCAGCCCAAGAGATGACCGAGAATGCCTCAGCTGCAGTGGTGCTTCGAAAAGCAGGTGCCGTGTCAAAAGACAACATGAAGAACGCTGAGCGGGACCTTCATCAACTATTTCGATCCTTGGGGTTGTCCTTGCCAATCACACCATGGCCTATGAAATTTGGACTGGCGTACCTACATCGCTTGAGGTTTTCAGATTGGTTCACTTACTTGATGAAAAACCATCCGGAGCTCTTACTTGGAGGTTACGACCTGGAAAGTGGTCATTACATGAAGCTCCTCCAAAGCTACTGGCAGAATGTTGAAGTTGGGATGCCTGACCACATGGTCTTCAATGTGGACGACCAGCGTTCCCTCACCCAGTGTGTTCCATACTACATCCACCTAGACGAGGGAACGTCGTTGCGCAAGAGTGCTGTAATGGTATACCAAATGCAGCCAGTTTTTGGCCGAGGCACAGCGCTGAAGTTTGCAGAGATGCTCGCAGCTGAGGAGTCCCGCAGCGAATCCGCCATGCACCACCTTATGTCACAAAGCATGCTGCACAATCAAAAGGGAGTGACCTGGAAGTCACGTTTCCTGCTGGCCTGTGTGCCTAAGAAGCTCTATAGCAAAAAGTTTGCCAAGAATTTTGATAGAATCCTTGATGTCTTTTCGGACGAGATTGTAGAGCTTATGGTTAATGGCCTACGGATCCACGGACGTGTGTGGTATTTCATCCCCATGGGATGCAAAGGTGATGCCCCGGCATTGGGGAAGGCCGGACACTTTACACGGACGTTCATGCAGCTTGGCGCTTTAGTGAAATTATCCAACATGTTTTCGCAAGCCCCTTCATCAAAAAAGTGGATTCCTTGTGCTGGTTTTCTTGTTTGGGCTGTGACCATGGACTGCCTGTAGACAACTGTTGTGAGGAACTTGGGCTACAACAAGGGCATCTGCCCTGAGTGTCTTGCTGGCTACCTCGACTACCCCTTCGAGGACAACAGGCGGTTGCCAAGCTGGGAAGGAACCATGGGAGTTGTCAACCCGTGGTCGGAAGGGCAGGAGAGCCCTTTGTTGCAGATCCCTTTCAGGCCCACAGCACCGCATTTGTTTTGGCGGAAGGACCCCTTCCACATCTGGAAACAATCTCTCGGCGGTCATTGGATAGCAAGCTCGATCATTTTGTTGCTTGACTTCAAGGTGTTTGGCCAAAGCAGTGTTGAAGAGGGGCTTGAGTTGGCATATCAGGACTACAACTTCTTTGTCAAGAAGGAGTTTGCTGGTAAGCATGTCTCTCATTTGAAGCACTTCACGCGACAGATCTTACATTTCTCAAAGCAGGAGTCCTTTCCTCATTCAAGGCCAAAGGGGTCGGATGTCATGCTGATCACCAGGTGGTTAAGTGCGCTTCTGGCACGTGGGCCCTACGATCCTGAGAAGGGAGGGCGAAGTGGAAGAAGCCTGGTCTCGCATCCGCCGCAGCCACATCACGCTGAGTTCTTTAGGGCAATGGCAAGTGGTAACAATGCGGCCTTGCAGTTCTTCAGGCAAATGCACACCAATGGGATTTGGCTTCTCCGGTCTGTTGCCCAGGACATGTGTTCAGCTGCGTTCAGCTTCACTGATGCGTACGCCTGCCTTGCAAAACTGTGTCACCAACAGAAGCTGGCAAGATTTCACCTGGAACCAAGCTACCACTATTGGCACCATTTCGGGGTGGAGTACCGCCAGCGTTTGGAGAATGGAGACACCTACATATACAGTTGTGCATGTGATTGCTGCGAAGCTGACGAGGACTTTGTGGGTAAGATTGCAAAAATCTCAAAGGCTGTGCACGCCAGCACCGTTTCTTTGCGGGTTTTGGAACGGTACCTGCTCATGTGCAGAGCGGTGTTTTCCGATGATGACCTCCTCACTATCACAAGCTGATTGGATCTAAGCCCGGCACACAGGTTGGACCGCAGGAAAATCAGCGGCGGCCCGATTTGAGCAAACAAGAGTGAAACGATTCATACCAAAAGACCTTTTTTTGAAAACATGATCCCATAAATTCATGAATGTACCCAAAATCAATGCCTCAAATGCATGTACCCAAAAACGAAGGAACACGGAGGGTTCAGGTAGGCATATATTGCATAGTATTGTTATGTTATAATGTTACTTTGTTACTTACGTCCCAGTGTCAATAAGTGAAACTCAATCTCGTGTCGTGTCAACTTGATTCTTTAAGTCTCTAAAGGTCTGGAGATATGCAGTCATTAGGACCATCCTCCTTCTGCGATTTTGACAAAGCTCCTAACATGAAAAAACATCCAGAATCCTGAGTCAATCAATGAAAGAGGAGGAAACCCCACTGCCAAATCCAAAGTCTGGTGCTCAGAAGCTCTGGTGACTCCAGACTTTGTTCTGAACAAAAACAGTACAGTATATAGGCCATCATGGGCCCAGTCCATCTATCACCAGAAACCACCCACACACACACACAAAGAAATCAAACATGTGCTGTGCCTTTGTGCCGTGCATGCTACGGTACGGGTCCCTCTCCTCAGCGGCACCCGTGTGCGAGTCCGTGCTGTGCTCGGTCTGCTCGAGTTCCGTGAGGCGCCGAGAGAGGGCGGCCAGCGCGCCGAAGAAGGGGATGGACCAACAGCTTTGGTTCGTCAACATCCTCAGTGTGCGATGTGTGGTTCGCTTCGCTGAGCACGACTCGTGTGGGATGATGAACGGCGAAGGGTTTAGGGTGGAAGTCTTTCGCACTCGTTCAGGCAGAAGTCGAGAACTCGTCGAGACTCGTTCCCCCAAAACAGGTGTTTTGCGATGTGGCTTGGGCTTCACCATGCTTCACGTCAGCCTGGGGTGAGCTTGGTGGAAGATCTTTGAAGGGCTGGCATCCGGGTCTGCTCCGTTGGACCGTCGATCTCCGTTGGCCATCCGTCCCACTGTCGCACTAAAAGGAGTAGGTGCGCTTGAAAGAGAAAACGTTAAAGTGGTCCCCGGCATTTTTTCACGCACATGAAGGCCTACCCCAAAGTAAAGTAAATCTATAGATTATGTAATTAGGATACATGAAGGATATTTCAGGAGCCTTAGCTATTTAGTATTAAGCATCTTTAGATCTATGGATTCGATGCACATCCTGCATTAAAGCGATTGTTTTCTCTTTTTGTTGCAATCCACTCTGACCCTCTCCCTCCGTGTCGGTTGCGACCTCTGCGTGCTCGGCAGGCCGAGCCGCGTAAACCAAGAGACTCGCAACGTGGCCAAGATCCGCTGCCGGCGAAGCAAGGGGTGCCCGCGCTCGTTTTGCAGTGCAGAGGCCAGTTCTGGGGGGCTAGCAAAGACTAAGGGGATCAAATCCGCCAAGACGAAGACATACTTCATGGTGTACCTGAAGCAAGACGTTTTCTTTGTGCCACGTGTGCTTTTCCCGCTTCATGGTGTGTGTCAGTCTTTTGCGTTTCACTCCACATTGCACCTGGAGGCTTCTCTCCGCCGTGCTCCTGGAGAAATTAAACCTGATATTAAGTTTCCGCCTAAAAATGTAGGAACCAAATTTAATCGTGCGAGCGCCCCTTCAAGGAAGTCCCCCCGACCTCAGGCGAGGAGCATCCAGTACCTATACTCGATGAAGTAGGCGCCTAAGCCTACTCAATTTAGTAGGGGGCAGAGCGGGCTAAACGAAGAAAACAACAAACAAGTCCACATTGCACCGGCTTGACATGGGTTCGCTGGGCCTTGTTCTGGGAACAAGAGTAGCCTGGTCATTGACATTTAGATGATAACGCATTGTTTGTCATGTTTGTTGTCCTTTTCTTTAGCCCTGGATGGGAGCAGGCCTCTAGAAGAGGTAGCTAGTAGCTTAAGTAAGTTTAGCATTAATCATTTGGTTCCTTGATGTTTATGGAAGCTTAGGTCTTGAAACTAAAAATGCAACTGTTTCACAGTTTGTTGTGGCACACGACATGCACTTGGATTCCTCCGGATTCCCAGAGTGTACATGGGGCATTGATACCCAGCACATCTTGGATCAAGTCTTAGGACATTAAGCCTTGAGCTTCTCACACATCTTTTTCAACATTCCTCGGCATTCCTCTGCATTATTCATGGGGTGAGCTTCTGGGTTTGCGAACCATGTTCTTTTGAACAAGACTGTGAAATCGTGTGAACCCGATCAAACTCTGTTTACACCGCCCAACCAAGAAACTCTTCTACAGCCCACTCATCTTCAGCACTCAGCTCGTACTCTACATTTCCATCCTCATCGCGAAGGACCTGCCAAGAGAAAAAATCCTTGTGCTGAAAACCATGTCTTTGCGGGTGCGAACATAGCAATCATCAAACATATACACCCTAAACCTTGAATTCTTTCAAAGCTCACCAAGTGTAAACAGCTCTGTTTGTGGCTCTTTTTCGCCCCCCCCACACCGCGGTCGTGACACGCTCGCCAAGCTCGCTCGCCAACCGCCTTCACGTAGCCCGCATGCATCACGCGGTTGACGTTCTCGGCCACCTCTTGCATGAGCTTCAAGGCTGCCTGGTGGGGCACGGTCTGTTGAAACAGTCGGCATCCCCAACCCGGCGACCCCGAGTCACCGCCGAGTCCCAAAACCAACTGCGAATCGGAGATGGGCTGGAGATGCCGAGAGTCGCAACTGGATGGCCATTTCTACTAGAAAAGAGCGATACCTCGACCAATCTGTACCGAGGGAAGCCAATGTTGTTCCAAAAGGAAAGCTGTTTTTTTGAGGTGTGGAAGCCAATGTTGTCACAAACTGTCACACAGCCCTAGCCTAAATCTCTTCAATCCAGGTGGACAAAGAAGCTCGGGAAGGCTTGCAAATGGATGTTGATGTTGTCTGGATGTGAAGTTCTACAATGTCAAAGCAGTTGCTCTACTGTCTAATCCAACTAACTAACCAACGGGAGGATTTCCCTACTTTGTCACTGTATAGATATATAATTACATATTGTATTTTATACTATATATATATTATATACTATATTATATATTTATGTAATTACTTATATGTGTGAACCAGGTGAACCACGTTCTGACGCAATCCTACTTAACGACAATGATTTGACATGCTCGCGATATGTTGTGATTCAGGTTGTACATCTTGGACGCCTCTCTCCCTCAGGGTTGCCGAGTTACAGAAAGCAGCTCAAAGTTGAGGGAGTTGAAGTCTACCTCAGCCATTGCTGGCAAAACTGCTTCTGCTTCCTCATCACTCGCCTCACGTCTCAAATGTTTAAGATTCCCCACAACCCAAACCACTATTCACTCCAAACAGACCTTCACTTCCAAAAGCTTCAGCTGTGACACCGTAGGCCCCGCAAAGGCCAGCTCCAACTTCTGCTTCGCCAAGCGCAGCTTCTCCGCTGCTCGCCACGGTGCTTCACGTCCGTCCGCAACGTCCGCGGCGGCTGTCCAGGCGCAGGCCGCGGCAATCCATGCGCAGCCCATGGGCACCACGCGCCCGGTGCGGGCGCGGCCGGGCGCGCGCCCGGTGTAATCGATCAAGCCATGTCGGGTCGCCAGGGGTCAAAGGTCCAAAAGATGTCAAGAAAGTGTTCGTGTGATTCGCAGTTGATGGATGTCTATACTCTATACCATTCTATACCCGCTATTCGGGCATGAAACGTATAGCAACTGGGGAGCTCTCTCCCAGCTACACAGCTCACGTCGCTATGGAAGCGACCGGATCCACCGTCGGCTGCGGATCTGCGCGAGCGAACGATCGGAGCCCGGTCCGTCTCCCGGAGACGAAAGGAACAGTGGAACAGTGCGGTGGGTGAGACGATTGAGCATGTGCATCTGAAATGCCATGAAGGACGCATCAAATGATGAAACATTCGTCATTTCGTAGGAAGAAGACGTGAGAAGACCCAAGCATCACAAGTCTCACATGTGTTCGCACATATCCCAGTTTGAGAGACGTGGGAACCACGTCTGTTGGCGAACATTTCAATATCTGTCCACAGTGAGAAGTCTCTAACACATCACAGCTCAGCCAGCTTGGTTCTTGGAAGCCTGGGGCCCCCCCCAAAACCAACATGGTCCAATCTGAGTGTTCCAAGCTCAAGCGTCTGTGTGTTCATTGAAAGCGGCACGTTCATCAGTTCTCCCTCAAGTCAGTTCTCTCAGATTTGTATGACCTGTATCTGACCTTCTGCAACTGCTTTGCTCAACCAGCTCAGCGTCCTGTATTTCTGCAAAGCCGCCTTGCTATGATCTATGCGCTCCTCTAAGCTCCTCCTGCCACGAACCAGCGACGAGAAGAGGGTGTAGTATTCATTGTGCTGCACGGTTGGTTCCCAGAGTGCACGGTGTTAACCCGTAAACGACTGAATTACGTTTTTATCTGGTGATCTTGAAGAAATCACACATAATCACACAACCTCTGCAAACTTGTTCAAAATGTCATAGACTTGTTCTGCAAAAGATCGAAAAGTGAAGTCTGCGGATTTCTTTTTCATCCCTTCCAGAGCAAAGCTTTACAAATCAACTGCTGCCAAACAGCTTTCATTCAAACCGGCACGTTTCAACCCTTTCCACCTGACCAAAAAGAAACTTGCACACATAGTCAAATTGGAATTTGACACTCAATAAAGACTGATCAGAAATCAGAAATGTCCGCTACTTGTTCCTAAAGGGCATAACCCGCGCTTGCATCTAGTTTTGCAGTTGTCAGAGTACTACAACGCCCCCAGCTACTACTACTGCTACTGCTACTGCTACTGCTACTGCTGCTACTACTACTACTACTATATCTACTATATCTACTATATACTACTGCCACTACTGCTTCTACTTCTACTACGTCTACTACTACGACTAATTAGTGCTACTGCTCCTGCTACTCCTTACAACGACTATGGCTACAACACCCACCAAGACAAATGCTCATGCCACTACATCCAGAAGCTGCAAAAGGATAACAAACGGGTGGTAGCAACCGCAAACACTGACAGCGCCGTGATGACTGCGCAGTTGCGGAACGGGACTTTGATGTCGGTCACCAGCATGCTGGGATCCAACGATTCATTGTCGACTGGACGAACGCTTTGCGTCGACATCGGAGCCGCTCCCGTCGAGGTTTTTGTGCTGTTTAGACCTGGTTGGACCCAACTCCACTCCTTTGCCACCCTTCGTGGTTGACCTGCACGCACAAGCGGCGCAGGTATTTGGATCGACCTTTTGGTGTGGGGTGCATGGAGTGTATGAGGGCTTCTGAGAAAAAAAGCATCTTCTACAAGAACAAATGGACAACACCTTCCCATGTGCATGAGGTCAAATCAAGCCCCTCCGAAGTTCAAAAGCTATTCTTTCACTGTCACATGTCCGGAGTATTCACCCGGCACGGCATCAAGCTGCATGAATATGGAATATGGGTACACTAGGTTGCCACTGGTAAGGGGAAAGCAACGCCGAATTAAAGCCTCCACATCCTCAACTACAGCCTCATCTATCTCTTGTCTCCAATCTGGATAATCCTCCTACTTGAAGAGCTCAAACTTCATAAAGGACCATTTCACCCGTGACCATGGGTCACGGGACCTACCGACCCCACCGCGTGCCTTCTCTTTGCTCTCGACCTCGGACAAACTGCTGCCACTGAGGCTGTCCTGGCGGCCGTGGCGACGGCTTGCGACGGCTGTCCAGCGGTTCCGGCGGACGGGTCCCGACTAGATGGCCAACGCAGTGACCCAACCAGACATGGTATACACCGGTCCATGTCCGGTCCCACGTGTGCTTTCCGTGTGCGCCGGACCGAGTCCCGATGTGTGGCGCAAGCCGCGCCGAGAGTCTGGGCTCGGACCGGTGCGGTGTGACAATCGGTATCATGCTGTCTCGACTCAGAAGAAACATTGAATGTGTGCTTGAATATACTGTACTTGAATACTACCAGGTTGGAAGCCATCGCTTCTAGGTTGGAAGCTATGCTTGAATACTCTTAATTACCTGCTGCAACGGATCCAAGAGCGAACACTTGGCTAGACTCGAGGACAGGAGGCGAGAGGCAGTCGTCACAGGATGCTATGTGGTGTCAATGCCAACCCCTGTACACACTCCATGTGTGGCATGTTGATAATTACATTGACCCCGTTTCAAGCACCCCAATGCAGGCAAACATATATTATATATATATATATCGATACATGACCCTTCGTCCCTGAAACACACGTCGACCCAAATACAGCCGTCGACCAGAAACACCGACAAGGCTGGTTCGACCTGTCCGCTTCGATTTGGGGAAACCATGCCCCTCCCCTCCAAAGGTCTCCAGGCTATTCACTGACTCACCTGGGATGATTTCTCGTGTACACCACTTCGGAAGGCTCGTCTACGAATACCCCCGTCCCCACGCAGGACCTGATGGGACCTGACAGGTTTCCCGCCTCATCTACCAAGCGTGGTGGAGCGGGTAAAGCCTGGTCTTTGACATTCCACCGAAAATCCGGGCAGCACCAGGCAAGGACAAAGAAGGATGTGGAGTTCTTTGGGCAGCACCACATGTTGACACTTCTGAAGGGTGCACCTCACTTGAACGTAACTCCGTTCATCCGGATTCCATGCAACATCTGGCATCTTCCAAAGATATGTCTGTCAGTCACAAATCAAACTCCAAAGCATGATAGTAATAGTCAACACATGAAAGGCCTCCTACAATGTGTAAAGGTTTATGCCGCCTGTTGCAGAAAAGTTTAAAAATCACCATATCATCAGGATTCGGTCGGCAAAAGGGAAAGGACGGAAACACGTATAGCTCATGCATTCCACGCTACTAAGCAAGGACACTAATAGCTCCTGGCATTACTATAAGAAGCAAGAAGCCACTAGTAACAAGGGCATCGCTATTAGTAGCCAATTTCCCAAGTTCCGTCGGCCCCGGTCGTCGGGCTCCACGGTGCTTCCACTGCGCGCCACGGTCGTTCCGCGCGCCACCACGGTGTGAGCTGACGAAGCCACACCGAAACGGCCGCCACATGGTTGCTTCGCCCCCTAAGCCTTGGAAAAAGAAAAACTAATGAACAAGAGCATAATATCATGATAATACAAAGCCCAGGAAAAACTCTATGGAGTACAACAATGAACTTTTGGACTTGCCGTGTTTGGACTTTTCAATGTCATTTCTGTTTATACCCCACATAGAACACCCCATATGGAACACCACCCGGGTCGACCGTTTTTGAGATGGACAGGCGGTCCAACGCTTCGTATCCGGTCATGGACGTCGGCGCCTCAAGCTTCAAAGAATGCTGGAGTGTCCGTGCCTGGCGCCAAATGGATCTATATGTATGGCATTCAAAGATGTCCAAGTTGTGCTTTGGGTGTTTGAACGTGTTTGCAGTGGTGTCTTCTCCCCTCTGAACCCGAAATAGCTTTGGGAGTCTCTATGTTTGGGTGTTTCATGGTGGTTCTTTTCGGGAGTCGTTTTTGGGGTCTGAGATGGTCGGCAGTGGTGTCCGTTGTCCTTCGGCTCAAGCATGGGTACCTCCGAGACCTCACAACCGAACTCTCGCAGCATCTAGTCTCATCGGAAGAACAAAACCTGGAAGAGAATGTGTGGAACATGGAACATGGAAGGTCCCTGCCATGGAACATGGAACATGGAACATGCAACAAGACCTGAAACATGGATTCTCCAACTGAAAAAACACCTGGAACGTCCCAGGCCGCTGGTGGCAAACACGCGTCGGGGCCACTCGGAAGGGTCCATCTGCCGTCCTCCAGCTCCGACCACCTGAGACAAAGAGCGCAGCTGAGGTAGGGTCAAGGTGTTGTTCCTTTATTCGTGTGTTTACTTAGTTTACTTGCTCTGTTCTTATCATTTATCCAGGTGGTTTTGGTTGAGATGTGCTGGAATGCTCGATGTTGTGCCAACTTGTGGTTGGTTGGTGAGATGCCATTCATCAAGACTGGGAGGGTTTTGAGGAGGAAATCGAGGTGAAGCAAAGCGTAAGAATCAATGCACTGGCTGGGAATAGTTGCTGGATGTTGCTGGAATAGAGTTGGTTTCACAACATGTGCGAGTCGTGGAGCCCGTGGAGCCGTGAGACTGACGACCATCCACCAGAGGAGTCTGACGACTGCATCCAATCAAACGTGTTAACATCCTGAATAACACATCACTGCTGCTGGGCGTGAATGTCCGAACGACAACCTAGCTACAAGAGCCAAAAGCATAGCATAGGCCGCTCATGTTGCATCTGAAATGGCTCAACAAGGATATCTCAAGAAGAAACAGTTGATAGAAGGAGGATCAAACTCCAACAAGTCACGACTACCCTGGTACATGATTTTAGATACAACATGATGCAACATGGTTTTTCCAAGTGTTTCGGAATGAAAAGAAAGAACAAGATTAAAAAAAAGAACAGAACATCCGATTCCTAGAACATCCAAGAAGCCCTTGATGTGTTCCCCCCCCAAAAAAAAAAATAAAGGTCTAAAGGAAAATT